AAAAACTGCCAAACATTAAGGTACAGCCTGCTGTGATTGGTAGCAGTCATTTCTTTGCAAAGAATATCTTTCTAAACAGGCCCGCAGTGTGGAAACATGAAATACATTTATAAATGAGGTCTGGCCATGCCCAAGACAAACATTCAGTCATGAAGGAAAGAGGAAAAGGGAGAGTCATTATATGGAAATGAGAAAAGGGCATAAAGTGGGAGTTGTTGCTACTCTCTAAGATGTAACTAGGTAACTAAAAAAGTAGTTTTTAGAAATCACTGTTGCTAACACAAGTCAGTGTGATGCTCCAGTGTTAGTGGTGCTGCAGTCACTGGATCACAGAATGTTTGAGGTTGACAGGCACCTCTGGAGGCCTCCTGGTCCACCCCACTTGCCCAAGCAAGACCACCAAGAGCCAGATGCCCAGGAACATGAGCAGTCCTCCTGTAAACTGCATCTTCTACCTGCTGCCTCCAGAGCTCAAACATGATTTGGGTTAGATTCTCTGCTGATCAGTCTTACCTGACCTAGTACTCAAGCAAAACAAACAGAAGCAGTAGGCAGGCCCTTTTGTCTGAGGTCTCCAGAGTTGCTAATTACTTTAAAGCAACAGTGAGAACATTTTCCTGGTGTTGACAGGGTCATTGTTATGTTTTCAGAAGGGCTATTTTTATACAGTGACTCATGTTAACGCTTGTTCTGATTTGGTGTTTTTCCATCTTCTCTAAAAATGCAACAGGGCTAAGGCAAACCCTGTATAATTTCACTCGCTCCTGGATTTTACCACCAAGGGAGAGTTTGGCCATAGAGTTGAAAATAGTTGGTGACCCCAGTCGCAATGTTGGTTTCCTCTGGCAGGAAAGCTGACATAGGTAATTCTGCCCCTTCAACTCCACAGCTGTGCTATGAATTCTTTCCTTCATGTTGCTGTTCTCCTCAGTTGTTTCAATGCAGGGTGTTGTGGGGATGGCCCAAGAGAAACTGTTCTTAACATTTGAAAGGAAAAAAAACCACAAATAAAAAAATTAACAACCTGGAGTTTTTGGGGGTTGTTTGCTTGGGTTAGTTTTTTTTTGAGGACACTTTTAAAATTATGCTCTCTTTCCATTTTAGATATCCAGGCTAAGTGTTGCAGTGGCTGTTGTATCAGGGTAGTAGTAATACTGAAATAAAAGCATGCATTCTTAAGTCTTACAATATTGCCATGGAAGCTAATAATTGTGTTTAATGCATCGTAAGACTTGCTCCTGCATGTGTTCGTATGAAAGGGGTGGAGACTGTAGAGCTTAAATCTTTACTGTTATAACTGTCTCCTGCACAGCAAGGGAAAGGTCTCTTGAGCTGAGTTGAAGTAAGCAAGCCAGGACCTGCCTGGAGAGACTGGCCTCATGCTGTGCTTTCCACCTCACTGAAAGGGTGGAGACTTGCGGATGTTAGGCACTTCAGTCTCCCCTGTTTCTCCCTCTTTACCTGAGATCTCTGCTGAGCTGCACTTTGGATGGCACATGACGTGGAACTCATGGTTGGGTGACAGCTCTGGTAGCTCATACTGCATTTGAGCTGTAGTTACAGCAGATAAAAGATGTAATTTACAAAAGGACTGTTCATGTTCCTGGGACACCACGGGCTGTTGGTGTCCTGCTGCCAGGCCCTTGACTATTGTAGTTTCTGGCATCCCAGCCCTACTGGTTGATACATGTGAACCAGTCAGACAGAAGGTATGTTGGGTCACAAGGAAGAGGGGTGCAAATACATTAGGTTTTTTGGTAGGAGTGTTCCCAGAGGTTGGAGTTGTTGAAACTACATTTGTGACTGTTGGTCTCTCGTGGAGGTTGGTGCTTCTGCAAGGTATTGTCTTCCTCTTGCCTGCAGTGGGACATTGCTACTGGACAGATGGGTTAAAGAGCTTGGTGAGGTCAGTGTCTGTACAGCAGCCTATCCACAGGATGTTTATGTCCCACATGTATTTGTTTATAGCTTTTTATTTTAAAAGTCCATTTCTCCTGCTTTTATTTTCAGCTTTAATTAGGAAAGCAAATCCAAAGGGGAAGGGCTGACAACATTTAAACATTGACTTTTTATACCAGAGTCCAAGCTGAAAATTTAACACATAATTCTGTCATGATTTTTACCACCCCAGCAGTAACAGTTAAATAACTTCTTGTGTTTTGATCATATGAATTGTGTGTGCTTTCTGGATGGTGATATATTTGGTAAGCCTGAAATTGAGGGTGGATAGCTGATAAATCAGCAGAATAGTAATAGAGAATCTTTGCCAATTCTTTCTTTGCAAGCCTCAAGCATTTCTCTTGGCATTTTTGTTGGATCATGAAAATACAATTGAACACTTCTGGTGGGGAGAAGATAAGTCTCATGCTTTTAACATGGACTTGACCCTGTGTAGGATCCTTATCTTCCCTGACATCTGGGAGTCATTAAAGCTTAGTACAGCACAGAAGACTGAAAAGGCATAGTGGAGTTAGGCACAGCTTGAATTTTTAACTAAGAAAACTTCTCCTTGATATTTTTTGAAAAGGGACTGTTACTTTCAGTTTAAGCAAGTTCCTTTTCTCAAGGTGTGAGATCATTTGTCCTTCATTCTTGATTAATCTTTTGGCTGAATGGAAATATGTTGTCATTGTATTTCCAAAAGCCTGTTGTAAGAAAAATTGATTATGGAGAAATATGAAAAGTTAATCATACAAGAATGAGTAATGTTAGAACATTGCTTTATTTTAGAATGGTAGTATCAGCAGGTCCTGTAAACCTGGTGAAGTGCTACTGATCAGCAAGTGCTTTTGTATAAGTAAATGCGGAAAATGGGGAAAGAAGGGTTAAATTTCTATTAATAGCCCCCTGTTTAAATCACTTACCTTGGTTATGTACCTTGTGAAATGAAGCTTGTCATGGTACCGTGTCTTGGAGTTTCACTTGTCTGCTGTTCAGCTGGCATTGAATCAATATATAGTCAGTTTGCATTTAGAGGGTTATTTGCACAAAAGTAAACTCTATACCACTTTTCTAGCACTCAACTCATTTATCAGAGGTCAAGGAGAAAATGAAGTTTTGTGCCTTTGCCACCACTGACTTGGAGCAATTAGGCTGATGGCCATGAATATGAAAGCTCCTATTTATTGTTCTATGAGTGCCCAAACAGTTGTTCTTGCCAGAGTCTGGATTATCCTGTTGGTGGTTAAACACATCTGCACATTCTTGTGAAGTATGTTGGAAAAGGAGAACTAATGAAAGAAATGTTTTGAATATTTTATTACATGCCACTAGCTTTTTCTCCTCAAGTGCTGGCTAAAGTTCAACTTGTGATTAATAGTACAACTGGACACTCACCTGAATACTTAGAGTGCTTGGATTTATTTTTATTTAGACTGCACTTTTTTGATTTGTCCTTTCCAAAACTAAACCTTAAAACAAACATAAAAAAATAGGAAACAGGGACTGTAGTGAGTTCTGAGCTCAATACTATGTTAACCCGAAGAGACAGTTCAAAGCTCAACCCCCAAAGCCTATTATGCTCATGTCAGAATTGAAAATGAACATAAGTATAAGCTGCTACTCTACTTCTTTGTTGGTGCTCTGATAATTTAGGCTGAATAGTTACATGGTGCGTTTCAGTTACTGGGGCGTATTTGCCAGAAGCAATTGATTTTTCTGGTAAATGACAGCAATGCAATTGATTGCATTGGACAGTCCAGATCAAACTGAATCATGGCATGAGCCTGTCTCTGTTGTTTATACATGCCTGTAAGAATGCACGAGCCTATCCAAACATCTGTAATTAGAGGAGAAGATAAAATAGTTTCTTACCTTGCACATTGTATAGACCAATTTAATTTTGTAGAATGCAGGGTATTTACTGTCCCAATCTCACCGAAGATAGTGTTATATGAAAATTGCTCATGGTGTATGAAAGAGAATTATATTGTTCAAATACTTTCACAATTAGCTGAGAAGTGGTCTATTTTAACCAAAAAAATTAAGCACCAGTACAATCCATAAGTTTTTTCCTCATTGCATGCCCCAGTCACAATTTAAACAGCGCTTGAACCGATGACTTATACATTATGAAAACCACTATAAGGGTGAAAAGAAATGCTTCTTCCTAGCCATGAATTTTTGTACTTTTTTTAAAAATGTGATACAATGATCAACTTCAGCCAATTTCCCATCCTTCTATGCAGCACAATTGTATTTTCCTGCTGTTTCTCTGTGTTGGTGCAAACAATTGTGGGTGGCAAGGCCTCACCAGGCTCAGTAGTTTTCTGACATGCAGGGGTGGATCCACATCCCATCAGCAAATGGCTGCTCTCTCTGTATGGCTGCACTTTGTTGATGCAAAGCAGGGAACAGTAACACATGACCGTGTACCACGAAGGCAGTGGGAATGCCCTTTGCAGTCTGGTTTTAGATTAACGAATGTCAGTTTTCCCCTCAGTTGCAAATTGTCACTATTCCCTTCTTTGAGCAGACTCTCCACGATGGAGTGGGTGGTACGGCAGTGGGTGGTGTTGTAGTCAGAGTTGTAGGGTGCTTGTTGGAAGAGCAAATGGTACCCTTTCATTTTGGGTGACTGTGGTGTTAGTGTGCTGGCCATGTTCTGCATCAACAGAGTGCCTCAGAGGACGTACTGGGTGACTAAATGATCCTATACTTTCCCTCTAGGGTTTTGCCCCTATCTCATGTCATCATTAGCACCTTTACCTCTTGGTGGGTAAGTGGCTTCATGCTCAGTCACTGCCACTGACCAGGTCAGCTGCCATCAAAAAATACCTTGACACTGGAGCTAATGTTTCTTTCCTTTTCAAATGACAAAATATATGTATGATATTGTGGTGTTTCTGGTTCTGAATAAAAATAAATTAGGATGTTGGTGTTTGGAACTTGTTAAACAACTGTCACGCAAGAGCACTAAACTGACAGCAGCTCTTAAATAGTATTACAATAGAAGCAAATGTTATTCAATAAATTTTTGCCTTTTTTTCCCCTTTCTACAGGAGTATTTTTACCCGAAATACTTGGGTGAGTTGCAGCTTTTACTTTTACTTTGTGGCAGTGCTGGTATGTGATGCCTGACACTGGAGCTTGTTACAGCTGAAGCCTCTGCTAAGAAACGTGATGGAAATATGATTGCAATAAACATGCATTGCTAACTTTAGAGTGTATGTTCCTTATAGTACTTTGAGGTGTGTTTTTTTATTTACGTGTACATTTGCATACATAGATGTTCTATATGTTTTCTGCATGTTAAAATCTTGATGTTGCATATGTATCTGTGGCTTGCAGTGTTGTTAAGTAATTTGTAGTTTTCTACCTTTTTCCCATTTTAATTAACTTAGTTATAAACTAATCTCTGTATTTAAAAAAAAAGATGCCTTTACTTATTGAACCACTGACTTATTTTATTGACTGTATCATAGTCATGGTGTGAAAAAAAATCTTTGTGCTTTTTAGGTATTTTAAGAAATTTAGTTGGTCAAATTTGAGTAGCTACTATCACAGTTTTAGAATCGTAGTAGCATCTGGTTAAGTGATCATCCTCTTCAAATGGTTTATAACTGCTGTACATCAAAGCTAAAAAAAAATTAATGAACTTAAGAACTTTAAGGCATCTGGGAGATTATAATATTGCATAGATTTTGCATCCACCTTCCAAATCCTTGCAGTCAGGTGTCGTTTTACATGCTTTGAAGCACTGTCCTGTCATCATTATAAAAATAACGATTTTATTTTCTGTTCTTCAGCTTGTATTCAGAAATATGGGTCACCGTATACAAGAAGTCCAGATTTCCTTACATGCGTTCATAGTAAGCATTTTGGGTTTGTATATTGTAGTTAAATGTTCTCTCATTCTGTCTAAAGGTGTGGTACTAGCTCAACCATCTCCATTTCTGATAGTATTTTAGTACCGGTCTTCCTATTCTCTAGGCTCAAGACTCCATACCACCAAAAAAATCTTTTCCATTTATAACCTAATGCCATCTTGCTGTCATGTTTTAGTACTTTGGTATTTTATGATGCAAGTTTCTTTCCCACCAGTTTCCCGAGGTCTGAATAAACTGAGAAGCAAGAGGGACAAGAAGTAGGATGTACGTAAGGCTGTACACTATGCTTGGCCTTTCATTTTCTATTCTCTTGCTAACTTTGGCTCACTCTATTAAGGAACATTAAGACAAGCTTAAAGTCAAACTCAGGCTCATGACAACCTTCTTTACATTACGAAGATGAGTTTCACGTGTCATGGGACTGTGCTTTAAATATTGCAAACTTTAAAAACTCAAATTAATTTGGAAGTCAAACTGATAACTTTGTAGCGGGTGAAGGGAATTCTTCTAATACATTTCTAGTTGCCCCTTGAAGCTTAGCAGTGCTAAAGGTATAAAACTGCATAAGTGTTCTAAATACGTCCTGGGAGCAGAACAAATGGGGAGAAAAATCACATGTATGTATATTTATTTTCTTTTTACCCCTGTGTTTCAGTCTTTTATTGTGGTCAAGTTTGATTAGTCATGCATTCGTACCAGTGCTACCAAAGCAGGATCAGGATTTAGTTGGCCTTTCACATTTATGAACTGCATTACAGCAACCTTTTTTAAGAGTGAATTCCAAGATTGGTAAGTGGTATGTGAAGAATTGCCCTCATATCACTTACAGATGTTAGCAGTATCACTTATGGTTGTTAAGAGTGCTCTCAACTGGGAATTCTTGGACTTGTGGTACCTGTGTCAGCTAATTCGAAGTGGGGTATGAGGCTGAATGCTTACTTTTACTTGTGTGTGTGGCATGGCAGAGGCAGGAGTTTTTGATGAAAATGGTTGTATCAACTGGGAGCACTTGTTCCAAACAGCTAAACGGTGTTTTAGAAATGCAAGTCTAAAGCTTGGCGATGAAAAAATCTGAAAAAATAAAAGCTGAATAATTGTTTTTAGGACTCACTGCCCATTTCATATGCAGTGGTTTGGAAAGAAAATGATAATATTTTCCCCCATTAAAATATTAAAAGACTTTAAAATGGCTGAGTTTTGGCTAGCCATTGTCGATTCACAGGAGAAGTAACAGAAAGGAACCTGAAATGCACTTGGAAGAATGACAGGCTTTGTGCTTAGCCAGTTCCAGTGTGCCTCTTAATTTTTCACAGATGTTGCTAAAAGACTGTGTAGCTCTGTGGTTTTGTGCCTGCAAGATGCTTTTAAATTTTGTTTCTTAACAGCCTTCTCCCCTCAAAACAAGGCTCTTTTAGTGGAAGGCTCTTTTAACCAGGTGTACAAAGACATTGCACAGCCTGAGGGCTGGAGAGTGATTAACTACACTAGTTTATACTAGGAATAAGGTAGAAATTTTAACTGTGACAGTGATTAGACAGCTTAGCAGAAGATGTGAGGATTCCTAGTTTCGTAAGCTCTTTAGATCAGGTTTACAGGTAGGATTCAGCTCTGGATTCAGAGTTAGATGCAGGTGTTTCTAGCAGTGTTCTACATGAGTAGTATTCCCATCACAGTCAGTGGAGTGTTAATCTCCTCTGGTTCTAGAGGGATTCCATCAACCAAATTGTGCCAGCTCTGGGGAGACCTGAATCCATGTATGGACTGTTTATTTACTATCTCTAGCAACTGCAGCGAGTGTTTCCAGTTGCTTTGCAGATAGATGTTTACTTTACACACAGACACCTGTACTTTGGTCTGCAGATCTGAATATTTTTCTAAAAAAGATCCTGCATGTCAGCTAGGAATTAAGGATTTGGTTCTGCAAGACTTTGGAAAATTGTGCAGGATTTTTTGGAAATGAGGCTTCATGTGGCCTTAAAAAACAAAATGAGATTTTTGTTATGTCACGTGCCTGCTTTTCAGTAGTGACTGTCATAATCTTCACAACCTAATATTTCCCTTAGGAAGTTTTACTATGCACCATTTTGTGAATATCAAAAAATAAATTCATAACATGGAGTAATGAACTGGAAGTGGCAGTCAGCAGACATAAGTAAAGTCTTGTTTCCATACAAGACTTCAAAAATGGAATTGGTAGTTCTATTCTCTGTGTCCGCTTATGAGCTACCTATGTGCTATCAGACATAGCTCAAAGCACACAAAAAGGTCATGCTCATCATTACTTTGAACAGCTTTACTAAATCCGTTGTGTAAATGAATGGAAACAAAAGCACCATTTTCTTTTGTGATTGCTTAAATCAGGAGCACCTTTTTTGAAGTTGGTAGAATTATACAGCTTTGAAGCCACCAGAGGAGCGTAAGACTGTGTCTTGTGTTCTCAGCCTCTCATGGATAAGAGGCTGCAAACTGTCATCACTGTGTCGATGTGATAAAAACATCCTTGGTTGTTCCTGCCATTTACCATGGTTGCAATAGCTTACTATTCTGCTGAGCAGTGTTATTACCATTTGGCTCTGCAAGGCATATCAGAATCCAGTTTGAGGGAAAGAATCAGAAACTTGTGGGTACACTAGATAAGTCATGCATAACCCTATTGATTTGTTTTGCTTATCAAGAGATTTTGAAAACACTGCCATATCTGGGAGGCTTGGTTTGTGCAGCTTCAAAAAAAAATAAAAGAAGACTTGGCTTACTGAACCTATACCATTCTGTTTCCTGTACACACATTCTGGTCTGTCTAGGAAAAAGGAATATCCTGGTCAGACCTGCTCTATCATAGCTCATTGCTGCCTAAACATGGCCTTTCCTTCTCCAACTCCTCCACCTCCAGTAGTGTGTCAGCTGGGCAGTGATTCATCAGAAGGTGTTCTGGCAGGTGGATGTTGAGAATTGTAGCTGTGTTTTCTTTTGTATGGCCTGGCCTCTACTTTGGCTGTGGCTTTGCTCCGACTCTGCACATCTGGAGTGGAGAGGAATAAAGAAAATTAGGCCTTGTTTATAGTGAGAGGATGGTTGTTTCTGTGAGGCTTTTGGGACTGCGTATTCACGCTTTTCCAGTATAGTTTTCCCAGGCACTAGCTTCTGAGCATGAAGGTGAAGTACTGAAAATGGGCATTTCTTTGACCATGTCACACTTCTTTCCCTATCAGTCCTCTGGCTCTCTCCTCCCTTGCCCACAAGGGACACCTTACTGAGGCTCAGGATAAATGCCTGCCTTCTGAATGGCATGACCCTAGCTAGAGGTTGAAGCTGTGCAGGTTACAGAGGAGAACCTGAAATGAGAGAGTGGATGGAACCACTGTGTTTTGGCTGCATTTTGATAGAGGTAGATGAAATCGTAACTGGAAATGCAAATTCCTTCAGTTATGGAGATTTGTGATCATTTATGGCCTTCTATAGACCTCCTTTCTTTGTTTGATTATTTTGTTCTGCTTGATTCAGCCCACTATGTTTAATGACGGATATTGCCAATCTTCTCCTGTTTTCTGGCATTTGTCAGTCCTCTACAGAAGAACAGTGGATCCTTATAAATATATGCGTAGTGGACAGGTAATGTTTGTTGTAGTTTTTGAACTTGCTCTAGACGGTTCTTATGCCCAAAGATCAATTAAATACCTACAGAGAAAGGAGCAGTGAAAACTTTTATACTATTGTATCAACTCTGGTAAGAGTCTCATTTGAACTGTCAAAAGTACTTGAAAAGAGTACCCATGAGATAGATGGAAAGAAATCAGAAATTAGTACTCTATGGTAATCTGAATAAACTACAGCACTATGGGCACCTAACTTCAGTCAGTGTGCAGTGCAGCCCAAGAAGCTGACCATTTTTTTCTTGATAACTATAAAACAAATGCTGTCCAACATTTGAGCATATGTCCGTGCCATATTTTTATGCCTAAATAGCATAACTCCTAATGGCTGTCTAAAAAGGCAAACCAAAAGCGCAAAAGACTGTTGAGCAAACTGAAACACAGATGGTTTTACCATACTTTTTCACTGTGAGAGTGACCCAGAACCAACACAAGTTGCCCAGGGAGGTTGTGGAGTCTCCATCCTTGGAGATAATCAAAAGCCTTCTGGATGTGGTCCTGGGAAACTGGCTGTAGGTGGCCCTCCTTGAGCAGGGCCCTCTGGAGATTGGACAAGTGACCTCCAGAGATGCCTGCCAGCCTTAAGCATCCTATGATTACTAAGATTCAAATCTGAGGCAGTCAGTGCAAAGAAAAGTGCTGTTCATGTGACATCAAAGGGATCTGCTTCTGCCTGCCCTCACAGAAATGTTAAAAGTTCTTTCAAAGCAACCTGTCATGAAGATGACTTACAGGGTCACACAGAGGAAGAAGAGACATGTAGAAGCAGTATAATCCTTGCAAAAGTAGGAGTTAATTTGAGTCTTTAATTCTCTCAATTTGAGAAGTCTGATGGGGCTGCTAATCTATGACTAGTTTCTCTCCTAAAAGCCCCCCTGCCACCCTATATGCCCATCAGTTCACAGGTCATGTTTCAGAATATCATCAAGAGTCTGAACTGGATGTTGGTCTCAGCAGAACCAGTGTATGGAAACGGGTTGCTGCTGCTGCTGCTCGCTTATTGTGTACCCACTGGGCAATCCCCACTGCTGGGAGGAGATGTGTAAAAAGAAAGGCCCTTGAACTAGGTGACCTTTGCAATCTGCAGAATGAGCTTCTGCACTGTTCCTTCTTGTTAAAGTTGTGGAAACAGTTAACACATTTATGTTTTTGAAGATCACTGATCTAGAACACTACTGTTAAGAGGTTACTACTAAATGATAGCTACCAACTCTTTTTTTTTGTGGGAACAAGGGTATTCTTTCATCCTTCCTTTAGTTACCTCTGTGAAGCACTGTCCCTGTGTGTTTTGCAGATAGGTGGGCAGGTGAATTTAGACGGGTGATTTCCATTTGTTGAGTAGTTAGATAATAGTTTGAGATTTTTTCCTCCAATCCTCCCCAAAGAGTGGTGACTACTCTTTTGCTACTTTCTAATGAGAAAACTCATTGCCAGGTATTGAAACCTGGCTTAAAAATCCCCATAGGACCATCGTGCTCTCTGTAAACTGGATTAGTGGTTTTCTATTCCTTTGCTGTTAACTCACAGGTATTCCTTTTTTATTCTCATTCTACATAATAGAAAAGCTCTGACAAAAAATTCAGATATAAACATTTGCTAGCTGCAAATCTATCAGCTCTGGTAAGATCCTCAGTTGAACTACCAAAAGTACTTGAAAAGAGTACCCATCCCTTCTTGAGTACTTTGTTGATACTGCTTTTTGTTTTCTCCAAAACTAGGGAGAGTAGAATTAACTTTCTTAAAAATGAGCTACTTTGAGTTGTTTCTTTCAGGATGTGCCCTTCAGATAAGGGCAGTGGTAGCTCACTCCGTTTTGCAATGAAATGAATTCCACTGCATGTGCTCTGCAAAATTCCTGGCACACCTTGTTTGGCATGTGAGCATTAAGAATTAGCTTCCAGTTTTGCCAGCTGTGAGTATTTCTGAGTGATTCCCCATTACTATTTAAGCTTCCCAACTTCTAATGAGAGTGAAACTCCTGCTTGTCAGTGATTTCAATGTATTGTTCTGTTCTGGCTTTTTTATTCCTTATGTAAATCAGATTTGCCAAACCAGTGTTCTCCTGATCCTTGTCACAAAGAGGGGACTGTCAAATGTGAGGATCTCAAGGGGGACTTCTATTGTGAATGCAAGCGTGGCTGGCAGGGGAAAACATGTGAAAAAGGTAATCAGGTTTCATTATCTTTTGTACTTGTAACAAAGATATTTTGTGTTTTGCTGTATTCTCAAATGGTCATGGATACTGTGCTGCACAATTCAAAAGTCACAGAACCGAACCTGGATTACACACCGCTCGTGTTTTTACCCTTCTTTGACTCAGGTAATTTTTTCACATCAGCATTTTTATATGACTTTAATGGAGCTTAGCTTGGTCTTGGCAAGGTAATCTAAGAAGTTAGGCTCTGACTTTCTGTCCCACCCCTCTGAAAGGGGCAGCAGAAATAGAGTTGTAGTGGCTTTTCAAGCAGAACTGCAGCAGATGCTGCTGTGAACCCTGGTGTAACAGATCACAGACTGCAGAGCCAGAGAAGCTGGCCCACCTGCCCTCTAGCATCCCTGCTGTGGGAACAATGACTTTCAGTCAGCAAGTTGGAGTCTGATGATACACAAACTGATGAAATTAGTTGATGATGCTAGTAGGACCTTATTCCACGTCCGCTTAATCCCACATATCCCAGGGTATATTTCCATCACCTCCAAAGAAAATATTCAGACAGAATCCGTTTGTGCAAGGAGTGCCAGGTACCAACGGGGCTTTCTCTACAAATTATCTTCCCTCCTCCTATTTTCTGGTTTCTTTTTTTTCCCCTTCTGCCTGCAAGGCTTCCTGTCAGGTAAGGAATGGCTAGAAGTCACATTCAGCCAGTCCAGAATTGTGGCAACCAAGATAGCAAGAGATCCAAAACCTTTCCTTCTCACGTAAATATCATGGTGAGATTGTAGGGTCACTCACAAGGAGCACATTTAAGCAATTCAGAAAGCAGACCAGTCAGTATCCAGTCAGCTTTGAGAGCTCAGACAATGATCAGTCTGAAGCATATTCCCATATTTTCCTATAAAATTCCATGACATGTGATGTTCTACTCATCAACTGACTCTAGAGTCCCATAGATAAGCAGGACATAATGAGCAGGTAGGGCAGGTCAAGGGTGAAATCAAGGCTCTGGGATTTTACTGGCTTTTTCTGCCAACTTCAGTGAGGCATACAGTGCTCAGTAGCTGAGAACTTAAAACTTTTTGTGTTTTTATGAGTTCTGTGGTAGTAAGGATATAGTGTTCTTGTATTATTTAAAACTTTCATCCTGAACTTACTGGTCATAGTATGATTTTAAAACTTAGTTATGATATAAAATGCATTATAATTAGTTTGCTTCTGCAAATGAACTTCTTCACCTCCACAGTGACTAAAGATAGGCATTCTCAGAGCTGTGAAGGAGATGCTCAGTTACATTGCCTTTTCTTTTTTTTGTTTTATTAAACAAGCGAGCTAATGTGCTTGAAGTGTTTGAATGAAATCTTTGTGCTTTTTGTAGTCATTGCGTTGCAGTCGTAATACTGTTTCTTGTTTGATCTTTCTGCTTCCCAGTGCCTATCCCACTCTCACCCTCCACATTATTCACAGAGATGAAAAGCTGACTAACACTTTATTTTGATGTAGATATTGATGAATGCAGAACGCAGAACGGTGGCTGTAGCCAGGTCTGTCTCAACAAGCTAGGCAGCTACCGTTGCTCATGCAACAGTGGTTACACTCTTAAAGACAGCAAAATATGTGAAGGTAAGTTTTGGTGGGACTCTCACTTTGCTTCAGGGGATGCTTGGTGACTTGTGCCTGCATTTTGGAGAGCTGAGTTGCCCTGAGCAGTCCTGGTCTGCTTCCTAGCCCAGCAGAAACTTGCTGGTAGCTCCTGTTGGCTGTGCTCCACTGGCATTGTGCTGGGTGCTCCAGCCAGCCTACACGCCTGGGCTTGTCAGCAGTGGGACCATGATGCTGTCAATATCCTAACACAGGCGTGATTCACAGAGGATTTGTGGCTTGGATTGTGCTAAATTGGTTTAGCCGATCAGTCCTCATATCCTGACATTGAGAGGAGGAAGTGCTGGCCAAATGCATTGTTATGATTCTTTCCAGTCTCACAGTGCTGTAGTATATGAGCCATTTGTTTTTCTTTTGTGTGTTTCTTATTTTATTTTTCTAAATTTGGATATGTGCAGCAGCTAATTCAAACAGATACAGATGGCTAAATTCGCTGCGACTGAATATTAATACATGTAGAAAGGCCCTAGTGAAGGTTGGCAGATATAGCAGGTGGGAACAGAAAGTGAGGATCTGAAATATCTGATTGAAACTTTTAAATGAATTTACATAACCAAAACTTAAGCAACTGAGATTTCAGAAGTGTTAATAAAACTACATGCTGAGACAAAGACTCATTAATGATTACAGTGATTGTTAAAGTTATGTGTATCTCATAAAAAATGGGTAAGTTTGTGTATATACCTCTTACAGATGGATGTGACAACATATTTCTAAACAACTTGCATACCTGATCTGAAGAGTGTATTAATGCTACCAGCAAAAAGACAAAGAGCAAGATTTTATTTCCATGTCACTTCCACTCTAAAGATGACTGTATAGATTACACAGTATCCCTTTCTAATGGGAGTACCCACTTAGAAGAGCCAACTTCACTTTTGAATTGTCCTCTGGTGCCAGTTGGCAGGGACAGGTGAATGGTGAGGGTGCTCACATATACGTTTGTTTTCATACTTACGTGTATTTGTTTCATACCCTGATACTGTCACTTAGGACACTGTGAGCAGTAGTATAAAAGCATTCTTTAGCTTCAGTGTGTGACCCTGCAGTTGCTGAGGTTGCTGTCAGGTGTGGTTATTGCTAGTTCAGATTTATCATTGCATTTTGGCTTTCTTTCATGTTTATTCCTTTTATCATGTGCATGCACACAAAAGTTACCTTTTGTCTTAATTTGTAGACTAGGCTACATAGGGTACTAGGTAGACCCTCAGCCAGCTCACTCATACATGGGAAAATCAACAAGTGTAATGTATAATTGTAGTTTTAACACATACTAGAAAGCAAACATAAATATTAAACTCTCAGTATACTGCAAATGTTTTGTCAACAGCAGGATTTTGCTGGGTATTAGTTAACATCTTAGGAAAACACTTGTGTGTTTTTATGGACCTCCAGTTCTTATCCTGCCTTCATGGTGAAACCCCAGAACATCTCTCAGACATGACTTGTTCTCTGTGACAAAATGAGCTGCTTCAATTCCCCTTTGCCACTATAGATCAGCAGGTATAGATCTTAATTTACTAAATGTGTGAAAAATTATTGTTTACCTGTCTGAGGACAGAGAACAGAAATCTGCAATGTGCTACAGGCTGCATCTCCCTTCAGTGTTTTGGTAACATTCATGCTGCTGTTCCTCAGTTCCTGTCTGTTGGTTTTTTTAACCTGCAGTTTCAGCCCCCTTGAGTGAAGGGAGTGTGGCTTTTTGATTTTCTGGGAGTTGGTTTGTTTTACAGTTTTTCTCCTTGCTCACTTTGTATTGTTTTTTTCCAGTAGTGGTTAATGGCTTTAAGAAAGAAAGACCAACTGGTTTTGAAAGCCTGAAGTCACTTCTCATAGCTAGCTACCCCTAAAGGTATCTTAAAGATACTGGTTTTTCAGTTTCCAAAATTTCTTGACCCTAAGCCTACTCCAGTATATGAATAGTGGTTATACTCCTCTCAAGCCATGTTGTTCAATTACTTGTTTTGCAGACATAGATGAATGCGCAGCATCAGCAGACATCTGTGGAGAAGCTCATTGTAAAAATTTAGTAAGCTCGTATGAATGCCTTTGTGACCCAGGCTACAAGTATGATGACGTGAAAAAAACTTGTCAGGGTAAGCTCATGAAATAACATCACGTTAGCATTTATTACATAATTTAAAGCTGTAAACCCCCCCGAAATTTAGTTTCAGGCTTCAGTAAAAGCATTTTTCTTTTTTTTTTTTTTTTTTTTAATCTTGCTTACACACTGGACTTCTGTTCCATCTCTCTAGTTGGGAGTGAGTTTGCAGATTTCAATCTGAGTTCATCAGGCTTGCAGTGGTCTTTGAGTTGATAGAGTTTGCAGTTGTCTTTGAGTTCACTGAGTTTGCAGTCAACTTTGATGACTTGAATCAAGCTGTACAAGCCAGAGTACTGAGATTTCTTGAATTCATGACAAGTGCAAGATCTGGTGAAAGCTCAGAAGCATCTGTGCATATTGCTGTCTCTAGACAAGAAAAGTTACAGAGCAGTAGCTGTTCTTTCAAAACCTGTCTTGTGGTATTACTCTGAACTATGAGCTTAATATGTGTTGGAACCATGCACAGTTCTGCTGGCTACACTGCCTGCAAGCTTTCTCAATGGAGTAAGCTTTGAAAGTATTCCAAAACTAGCATTGTTCCCTGCCTTTTGTCTAAGTTAATATACTGGCTCAAATCACACTCCAACCAGTCCTGCTGAGCTCTAAGTCTTTACCTCTGCCTGAAGAGATCCCTGTGGACTGTCAGAATTTGTTTTCCTGCAATTGTTTGTGAAGCAGATAAAAAGAAGCCAAAGGAAAAAAAAAAGAAAAAAAGAAAAAAATGAATGAGAAACTCAGCGCTTACTTGCAGTCCCTCAGTTGAAGGAGCAGGAGCCAGTCAGCACAGGCATAGCAGAAGGGGACTGAAGGGAGGAAGTCTTGTCTAGAAGTTAAAGCCCAGGGCTCTGCTCCAGCAGCTTCCAGCCTTCCCACTGATTTGGGCAGCTGGAATCTGTCTGTGAAAATAGCTTTGTGCAGATGCTAATTCTCACTCTTCTCTGCTGTAAAGATGTGGCATAGGGTAAGTACTGGCCACAGAGCACTTGGACATGCTCAAGGGGAAGGTGCTACGAAACAGCACTAATAATGCTTCCCCCCCCCAGTGATTCATGTTTAAACAAACTTATTGTTTTCTCCTCTCTTCTTCGCTGGTTTTGTGTAGATATAGATGAATGTGAAGAAAAGCTCTGTGAACAGACCTGTGTCAACTCACCAGGGAGTTATACCTGTCATTGTGATGGCAGAGGGGGAGTGAAACTTTCCCAGGATATGAATACGTGTGAGGTATGTCAGTGTTCATTGCTGTAACTGCAGAACAGACCTTTTCTTTACATTGCAATTAAGAATAACTGATGAAGCTCTGGACTAAAGTCATTTGAGCCAAGTGAACAGCAGGAGGGAATCCTATTGGCAAAGTTGGATGAGCTGGGGACAGTAGGTCTCCTGAAAAGAAATTTTCTCCTGAAAGTCTCTCTTTTCCAGCTCCTCCTGTCCCAGATCCAGTGATAGCCCTGCCAGCCCTCTGTTTGACTATGAGTTATGTTGGCTGCACAAGCTTTTCTGAGTAAGGTCCACTAGGTTGGTGCAAAGGTCTAAGGGCCTGTGGCGTAAGTTATGGACCAGCACTTGCATTTGACACTTTTGTCCTCCAGGCATTTGAGGTGGATGGGCTTCAGTGGCACAGGCTGCCTCTGTGGTAACCAACCAACAGCATGTTCTTAGCACATCTTTTGTTGCAGGCACAATGTGGTAGAAAACCTTATGCTGTACCTTATGAATATGATTTCATCATGCAACAGGAAAGCATTCCTCCAGGGCAGACAGTGGGGGGCGAGGAAAGAAAAGAGGAAATGTTCTCTGTACAATTGTATTTTGAGAGGATAAACATTACAGTGCACTATGTATTGTATTAATTAATGATAAACAACCTGCCCTCATTGCAAATTTGTACAACATCTCATAGTGTGAAAAAAACCAAACAAATTCTATTTCTGAGAAATAGCACCATACGATAGTTTCAACATTTCAGTTGGCACATTTGTAAAAGGCAGCAAGAAGTACAAGTGTCCAACAAATCTCTAAACACATTTATAATTATATTGAGTCCCTGGTTTTATTGTCCAGATGATTTTCTTCATCTTCATCCACCAATCAATGCGAAAGTCAATAGTTCTGTCTTTATATGTATAGCATCTACATGAGAAAAGAAGTGGAGACATACTCTTTGATTCTCTTTCTGCTCTCTGAGGAGAATAAGCACTCAAAAAATGTGTTTTGATTATAGAACATCATACCGTGTGTGCCTTTTGCTGTTGGAAGAAGTATTAAATCCTTGTACCTGGGGAGGATGTTCAGCGGCACTCCTGTTATCAGGCTGCGCTTCAAAAGGAAACAACTGACGAGGTGAGGACAATTTAGAATGACAGTCAAATGCTCTGACTGATGCATGCAAGGGTGTTAAGTTGTTACTATTACAATTAGTCCTACATTCACCATTATTTGCTTGGATTATGGAGTCTTGTAAGGCAAAACATTATCCAAGCCAGTAATTGAGAAAGCCAGCCATGACCACAGAGCTGTTAGGATAATTACTGAAGTATAGTATTGTATTCTTTATTGATGCTATTTTAAAACCTGTCTTCACAGCTTAAGTCTTTCAGGAGTGCATTAAAAACTAGCATGTTTTAACAGAGCTTTGTAGCTGCTAAAATTGATGCTATCTGTATGGAAAGTACTCTGTGGTTTTTGAATTCTGCATAACTAATTTATTTCTTGGCACCTGTGTGGTCAGACTTGTGGCTGAGTTCGACTTTAGAACCTTTGATCCTGAAGGTATCCTTTTCTTTGCTGGAGGCCATCAAGACAGCACATGGATAGTCTTGGCATTGCGCAAAGGACGGCTAGAGCTGCAGCTGAAATACAATGGAATAGGGCGTGTGACGAGCACTGGACCTCTTATCAACCATGGCATGTGGCAAACGGTGAGTTCAGACCATGGCTGAGGTCCAACCGCTTCTTGGGTTCTACCAAGTGCAGATAGACTTTGTGTATTCTTGAGATGCTTTTCCAACCTATCTATCCATTCAATGCATACGAGTATGTTATACATTCTAAGGTGAGAATGGGATGTTCTTCTTAACAAATTGAATTATACTTTATATCCATTGTAATACAGACTGCATCATTAATTTGCACAACCAGAGCAACCATTTGCACAAACAGTGTCTTTGAAATACAGCAGTGCTAACCTGACTTTATGTCAGCTTGAGAAGATGCCGTCTGGGTGAGGACTGGAAGGGAGTAAGAGGGAAGGAACTATGTCTGTTCTTTTAAGGAAGTTTCCAAGTGTGTTTGGTCTATGGGGGTGTGTGTGTAGTTGCTTTTGTTCATTTGTTTGTTTGTTTAGTCAAGGGGCTCAGATGTCTGAGGCCTTGACAAATGTCTTATGCTACAGTATCCTTTTTATAAAGTCTTCAAGTTTGTTTATATACAAAATAGACAATTTCCCTTGTAAATATATTGGGGTCTGTTATAGAATCATAGAATCATCAAGGTTGAAAAAGACTTTTTAAGATCATCAAGTCCAACCGTCAACTCAGCCCAATTACTGTAACCCCTAAAATACTCTGTTTACTAACAACATAATCCCAGCAATCTCATGAGTTTGTAAGGATTGTAAGGATTCATGTTCTTCTTGATGCTCTTGCAGAACATTGCCTGGTGATTTTGGAAGCATTATGATCGTTACTGTTTGTGACATGATCATTAAAAACATCCTGTAGTGTGATCCACAGTAGATGAGCAATTTATATATGCTTTCTCATTTCTGCCTTTTCCTCTCCTTTCATTTTTTTCTTACTTAATTAGTTCTTTTAAGTTTGTGTGCCTCTTGGGGAGTGGGCAGGAAGTTCTCAGCTAAGTTGCACATGAGACAAATGCAGATACTGGTAATTGTGAATAATTTTCTGATTTACATTTTTTAGTATAGAAAAATTATACGTTAAAGAAATAAGCAAGGTAGGAAAAATTTTATTCCTGATGCATAAATAAAGAAGACCTTGCATGCCATCACTGTCAACTATTGACATTTGGTAATGTTTCCAACAGTTCCGTTACTGTCAGTGAAACAATTTTAGATTCCAAATGAAGAGCTGTAGAGGTTCGGTGAAGTTGTAGATAAAATGTGTGACATGCTGTATCTTTACATGTAGGAATAGCCTCAAGCCAGTTCTTACTGAATTTTATGGTAAAATTTCTAATGGTTCTGCTATTTTGAAATATGACAATTGTAATTTTCTGCAAAGAGAAGATGGTGACGGAAGATGTGAAAAGCGGAGTGGATGCCACTGGCTGACTTGGAAGTCACAAAAATCAGCAGTTACCAAGCTAATCCATTTAATACCAGAGCATAACATACTTGTTAAGTGCCAGACTTCATTATGAAATAATTACAAACTATCCAATGTTAGTTTGAGGGGACACAGCTGAAATGTATTTCTTCAGGGAGAGAAGGCAGGATGATAAAAGTAAGTATCATGTTTAGGCAAAAATTATTTGCCTCCTCCCAGCCACCAGTGTCAGGGCTCTTATCCCAAGGTACCATATTAACCAAGAACTTGCCTGGCTGAGTTGCTAAGGCAACACACTCTTTGCACATTTTCTGAGAGGTTGTATAAATCCCCTCAAAATCCTTCCTCAAGGCTTTTTGGGACAGTACAGGTCTAGCTGTGGGTGCCATGTGGTGCAGGTGGACAGGACCCACACTGATGAAGGGGTCGGGGTGCCCTTGCAGCCAGCAGTGCTGCCCTGCACATGGGTTGAGCAGGGCCAGGCAGCTGCCAGAGACACAACATGGCATGAGTGGAGGAGAGAGCAACATGCACTGCTGGCACAGGAATGCTTGCCTGGAGCAGGTCAATGGCCATAGTTCTGGCGACTGTCTCCAGAAGTGAAACTGCTTGATACTGGCCAAAGGCAGAGGGATCCTCCCACAGATGAACAGCAGCAGGAGGAAGGAGCCTTTAGTCTCTTGACTTCATGATTGACTCGCCTCTGAGTCTTGGGATCCTGCTTGCATTGTTGGAGTGCTGTTGATTACTCCTTTCTCTGCTCTGTTTTCTTATTCCTAGCCTTCACCCTACAGGTGCTTGGTTTTCTTCTGTTTGACATCCAGTGTCACCCATCTCGAAATGCCATTTAATCTGTATGGCTGAGTGATACACCTATAAATATGTTCCTCCATTTTATCCCCTCTCACTTTTCTCCTTAGAATGGTTTTTAATTTAGGAAATCCTGTCAAGGAGGGGTTATTCCTTTTTGTCTGTCTCTTTTTATAAAACGTGTAGCCACACTTTTCGTTTTAAGTGTGGACTTTTGTGTGCTTTTCAAGCTCACCTTCTGTAAAGCACAAACCCAAAAACATTCAGAGGTAACAGTCCAGACTCAAATACAATTTAGGAGCTTTAGTCTGGGCTTCAGTTTGCACAAAATCAAGCCTTTAGTTTTGGTTAGACCTTAAACAGAGGAGTTTGGATACTTGGGAGAACTTTATAGGGGTTATAAGAAAATAGTTAATTTGACTATGCAACTTTCAGCAGATGGAAAAACAATGGATATTTAAAAGCAAAACATATGAAAAAGCAGCAGCAGTGTATGACTTCTGGTCCGTTGAGCAAATGCTGCATACTTTTATGGAAATATGATGGCATTTTCAAAACTTCAGCCCAGTATTTCTACCTAGGTACTTTCTCTGATGTTGATTCCTTCTAAGCTATTTTTAAATGAACATTGAACCAGCATTGAAAACACAAACAAGCAAGCCTCAGAAAAGACTTCTAATGTAGTTATTTGTGCATAATCCAGCTGGATAAAGTGGCACGTATGAACTGATGATAGTAGAGGACACACTCGCCTTCTGTTTGTTTTGCATTTCCAAAAACAGTCATCATTTTGTCTTCCTTTCAGTGTTCAGTTTAGTAGCACTCTGAGGACACAGTATGGTTAGCAAAAATAATAACTTAACTACACTGTTAAATGTCAGGACTGAGGGTTGAGCAATCACAAGCAGATTCATATTTGGCTTTAACCCTGTGTCTGGCTGTAGCTCTGTCCCTTTTCAGTGCTGTCCACTTGCTTTTCAGCAAAGAGCAGATAGGCTGGCTATGTGCTACGAGCTATCCAGAGTGTGAATCCAAAACACAAAGCTGACTGCCCTTATGGCTAACCATAGGGGAACCCTTTGCTTTAAGAACTGCGCACCTGAATGTCCCCCAGGATACTAACTACTGAAATGCTTCCCCTTTTGGTTTGTAGGTGATGGTGGTGCACCAGCAATTAAGCTTTGAATTTAAGGAACATGAGCTTAAACAGCTAGAGGGCATTGTGAAGTAGGCAGAATGTTATTTCCCAAACTGGAATTTATTAAGAGTTTTTACAGGGATTAACCCCTCCTCCGATGGAAGTTTTCACTGATTTGGGTTTACTTGTACTAATGACCAGAAGCAGCAAAGAACTCAGAATAATTTTTTTTTATTTCTATGTTATTACTTGCTACACAATATAATAAAATTTTAGAAGGCCCTAAATTTTGGTGGCCCTGCAAGTAGCAGGATTTCTTCACAGAGGAAGAACAGTATGGGCACTACTGCAGACAGTATTTCCTCATTCCCATTTGCTCTGTGACTGCCCAGTGTCTGTGCTAGGTACAGGGAGACAGTCTGTGCCAGTTCCTGTGGCACTCCATACCCTGGTGCATTAGGGCAGTGGTGACCATGACACCGAGCAGAGGTGTCCGAGTGAGTTTTTAGCTAGATAGCCTGTGTAGCTCATCCAGTTGGGTGGCTGCCAGGACATGTTCCCACCAAGCAGACTTTACAGCCTGCCAATCCCCAAAAAAACCCGTTTGAGACTGGCTTGTGTGTCTCCATGGAATGCAGTTAGGAGGTGTAGGTGCCACTTTAAACAAGCAAGCTTCAGGCAAATAAATTCACATCCTGTGAGATATGGCACAGAGCAACACACCAGGTGTAAGCAGTGTTCTAGCAGTATAAAGCAGACTCTGCTGGAATTCACAAGAGAAGAAAAAAGGTTGATGAGAGGAGAAAAATCTGTGAATAATCTTTTCAACTATCAAATTAACTAGATCTTCATTACTGAAGACTAAGGTCCAAAAGGAGTGTCCAGGTATAAATCTGCTCAGACCTGTCTTCCTTTGTGTTACAGCCACAGAGCAAGAGCTCAGCATGGCTGATAAAAGCAATTTTGGGACAGCTACTCAAAATGCAAAGAGAAGGATCCTCAGGACCTGGCCTGCTAGCAGGGAGAGGGAAGAACAAGTCTAAACAGCCTCACAAATAGATAATTGGTTTTATACAGTGGCTCATGGGTGGAGGCAGCATCTGGGTGTCCCAGGAAACAGAGCTGTATGGATGAAGAGTGAGTAGGTGGAGTATCTGTCACAGAGTGGGAAGAAGTTATGAAATAGCAGAGGTGCACTCCTTTCTCCTTCTCTACAAGAAGATTGGGTTATCTTCTGCTATAGCCACAGAACACCCTGTTGGTAGCAGGACCCAGGTCCCAAGGCAGCAGAATCTCTGCTGCTGTTCAGCAGCCTGGTGCATCGTCTATATGCTTTGCCTCCTTCTCTCCCTCTGCAGAGATGGATGTTTTATTGTGCTTCTCTGTGCAGCCTGGTCATAATTAAACTTATAAAATTTGTTTGAAATTTCAGTGGTAATAGAATCTTCCTAGAAGTAGCTCTTTGGAGACATGGAGGGAAAACTTGCAGAGGCTTTTTGAGAGAAAAGCCATTGCCTATTACATGTTTTTATTACCATCTCAGAAATCACATCATCTGTTGTTCTTTTTGCAGAGGTCAGTATTCAAAAACTGTACCTGGAAGGCCTTCTGCATTATATTCCACTGGTCCAACGAAAGCCATCTTGTCTGTCTTTCCAGCTTTTCTTTTCACGTGCAGTTGCAATAAGAAGATTCTCATTAATAACTCGTTATTGCATTTACATTTTGCATAGGGCAACCTGCATATGTCACATAATCATTCCATTCATGTTTTTCTATAGCTGTTTTGAAGTAGCTGGACTGTCTTCACTGTTAGGGTAACTGCAGGTTGCTTTCTAGAGTAAAGATTTACATGTCAAGGTCGAATGTAATTTAAAAGGTAGACAAAGAGGCTTGGGGACAGAAAATATTTTTCTGTCTTGGGGATTTCAGTGGCGGGGTCTGTCCTGTAGTTGAGGCTGCAGATATTAAGTTCTTTTCATACTGAATTGTTCAATTTGGAATTTTATTTTTTCAGATCTCTGTTGAAGAACTCGAAAGAAATTTAATTTTAAAGGTCAACAGGGATGCAGTTATGAAAATAGCTGTCTCAGGGGATCTGTTTACTCTATACAAAGGAGTGTATCAGCTGAATTTGACAGTAGGAGGCATTCCTTTCAAAACAAAGGACCTTATTCTACCCGTAAGTATAGCACGATCCCTCATGCTGCTTTGTATGCCAGAAGGGCTTGATTTCGTCTTTTCTGAGAGCAGTTCAACCTACCCTGAAACAGGTGGAATTGTCACCTTCTGGATACAGCTTTCTCTCCATTAACTGTAGCAGGAGTGTAAGCTAGTAGCAAAGGTGAGACTCCTGATTTTTTGATTGGTAAGTTTGGGTGAGATGCATCCCGCCTGTACAGTTAGGGCACAGCAAAACTGGAGCACATGACAAAATTCACTGTGGTCATATGGACTTGGAGAGCATGAGTGGCCCTGGGGGAGGTGGTCAGTGGGCACTGTCTCTCTGTGAGGGTGCCACTGTGCCTACTAAGCCTGGAAACAATGTTGGGGCACTTTTTGTGTTGCGACCAAAGTTTGTGCTTCACGTGTATTGTATGACAATTTTGCTGCTTCTGTTTGCTCATTCAGTTTAGTGAGATCTGAGGAAAAACAGCTGCTTGTTTTTATTTATTTCCTCCTAATTAAAGTAGGTAGGGCGTATGAATAAAAGTTAAGGCACTCCTTTGGGTGAGATTAGATGATTGCTACATTTCTGAAATAGCTGCTGCTCAGGCTGGTTTGAATGTCTACCACACACAGAGTTAGCACCTTGAAACTCTAATTTGCATCTCTTTATTTCTAAATGAGGTGACAAGCTTGTGGCTTGTGACTGGGATTGTAGTAGCTGAGGAAGGCTCCTGTGCTTCACAGGAAGTCATTCAGGGCCGCTGCTTGTCTGAAACAGTAAGGTCAGGGTGGGGTCTGAATCTAGGATTGAGAGCCAAAAACTCCTCAGGTTTTTATCCTGGCTCAGACACTTAATTCTCTCTCTCCTTCAGTTAAGTGGGAATAATGGCGCTGATTTAGAGGCTTTACATACTGTCTCATGTTTTAATGCTGAGATTTCATACAGGATAGCCTAACTAGAAGCTGGAAGGAACAAGGCGTGTGAAGAGTGGTATGCCTGTCTTGTGGCTCAGGCACCCCTCCTTAAGCCAGAACCTAAAAACATACTGTGATCAGGTCTAATGTCTGTCTTGTGTGTCATGCAGGCTGTTTGCAATGACACAAAGGATTGGGGTTTTACAGTGCAGAATTATGGGAGTTACAGAGCTTTGGTGACAGATCTTTAGAAATAAGTTGCACTGATTATCTGCATCATAGGGGAGATTACAGAATCAATACAACCAAATCAGCACCTGCACTAGCTAGTGTCCTTCTGTCCTGTGGAGACAAACTGAGCTTAGGGGAGTTTCCTGGGGAATACTGAACACTCATTTGCTTGGGGTTGCAGGATTGAGATTGCTGCCAATTAGTTTGCATGTGCGTAATGCGTCAAAATTATTTCTATTTAGTATCATAACATAACTCAGTATTTCTCTGCACCCAGTTCTTCTTCACTGAACAGCAGTTTGAAGCATGAGATACTGCTTTATCTTCCTAGATAAACCCTCGGCTGGATGGTTGCATGCGGGCATGGAACTGGCTGAATGGGGAGGACACCTCTATCCAAGAGACCATAAAGATGAATGAAAAGATGCAGTGCTTTGCTGTAGCAGGACGAGGGTCTTTCTATCCTGGCCGAGGTTTTGCTGTGTTTAATCTTACTTATGGTAAGTAATTTGTTTTTTTTTTTAATTTCTGACCTCTTGTCCTGCTATTAACCATACTCGGTTTATAAACAGTGTAAAACTTACATGTATGCCAGATTCACTGTTCATTGATGCACAAAAGACTGGCAGCTGTGGATGGAGAGGAATAACTAAACTTGTGATTCATAGCAAAGGAAGTCCTATGAATGATGGTTAGAACTGGTGTGAATATGCCCAGCATGGATTAGGTTCGCTCTGTGTAGCTCCAGTAATATATTTCACATCCAGACTGCTTCTAGCTCATCCTCAGCCCAGACGGGCTGAGCAGCATCTCCGCCAGCAGCTTAGGTGCTTCCAGTCCTTACCGCTGTTTCTGCTCAATAGGGAGAGCTGTAAGCCATAGTGCTGTATCTTGAGTTTATGATGGACAGAAAAATCAATATTGTCTGTAACAAAATGTCTGAGGTTGGGTTCACTTTTAATCATGGGGTGGCATTAGTTACACTTGGGTCGAATGCACTAAGCTGATACAAGCTGAATGAAATTGTCATAGGTAGAGTAATAACAAGTTTCAAACCCGACTTGTCCATACTAATGTGGCACTCAGAAAGGCACCTTTTTATTCTAGATTATTGTATTTGTTTATATGTGTGATCAACTGTCAGTGTTTTTGAACCCACACAAATGCTGACCACCTGTTTCAGCTTGGCATGTAAGTCCTCCTCTTCAGGAGCCATCTGTTCATCGTTACGTGGATTTTTCTGCTGTGCCATTGTAAATTAGGGAATATCAGCAGTCTGTCATATTATTTAGCACATGGATTCAAAAATGACAAAGTAAAGACAAGCATCTGAAGTGCAGATGACAACACTCAGCAGAGATAAGGCCTCAGTACCCGCATTCTTTTTTTCTTCAAACAATAATTCTTTATTTTGGTTTTTTTTTTTTTCCTTCATAATGGTAAGCTTTATAAAGAATGAATTATTGTATTTCAAGGTGTGGTGAACCAGCGAAGATAATACTCCTATGAAGGGAGGTTGCAGGAGCAGGATTGAGATCTTTCTTTGTAGCCAGCACTACCTTTTAAATTACGAGGGCACTGAGGCAGTAAGAAGATACCAGAAAGTTTAATTCACGATTCAACAAGTGAAATAAAACATCCCACACTTCTGGAGGCTGGTGATCAGGAAGTATTTGGTTAGGTGATGAGTGTAGTATGCTTACAAATTTTTCAGTTTAATACAGACTTTCATAGAAATGTTTCCCATATGTCATATTTGGACTTAGATTCCTCAGTGATCTTTGGGCAGTCAAGAACGATTAAAAATTGGGTGCCCTACCTTGCAGCAGTTCTTTGAGTGTGTTGCATTGACAGCCATGGGAATTTGAGTATTTCTTTGTGATAAAAAAGCTCAGCATTATCCTTTGACATTCTGAAAAGCAGCAGAAGGCAAAAGGTAACAAGAGGAAACTGATGCCATTTTCTTCTCTGATTTTATGTCCAGATGCTTTGGAATGATTTTTTTTTTTTAACAAAAGAAATGTGGCAATCCCTCCATAGGCTCATCTGCCTGTGCTCTTCTCTAGGGAGAAATTGCACAGCCTACCCATTTTACCTGTTAGTCCTATGTGTGTCCTGCACGTTTTTTTTTCTGCAGTGCAACCTTCTTCTGGAAATGAAACCAAGAAGAACTGGGAAATAGAAGTAAATGCTGTAATTCAACCAGCAACAGATACTGGTGTGCTATTTGCTCTAGTTACGGAAGAAGCATCTGTCCCTTTATCACTGTCTCTGATTGACTATCACTCCACAAAGAAACTGAAACAACAGGTACAGACGTAAGCATTTTTCTAGAGAAGGTTCCTTGCTGTTCTCTAGGAACTGAAAATCATTTTCAAAAACAGTTATCAGGTTTACTGCCTGCCTGTTTATTTGCCCCACCAGTTCAGAACATGGTCTGAGATAGCAGTGCTTGCCTGACACCGAAGTTCTGCCTCTTATGCGTACGTGTCAGACACTATTAGGGGGCTCTTTGCAAATGTGCTCTAGGTAAAAGATGGAACTGCTCTCTTCAATGCAGGCATATTTTACTATTTTTTTCTGGCACAGAAGCTGTTTAGTGCCATAAACCAGAGATTTCCATTCTCTGGAACTCATCAGTAACAGTCCCAAAGTAGCCAAGGCTTTAGGTGTCACTCTGGGTGCTGTGAAAGGCCAGTTATGATGGACTGCTGAAGCTACTATTTAATAGTATTCATAATAAAGGGCTAGATTCTGGCATTTCACAAGGGTAAACCAGGAATGATTTCACTAAAACCCATGAGCCAATTTTTCATTTATAGTCAGCCGACAGCTCCAGTTGGCTTGGTTCCACTGCAATGTAACAACCTCTGCAAGACCCCCTAAGAATTCTCTCTGAGAAGACACTGGTTTCAACCAATAATTAGTTCACTGGTTCATTGGTTTTTCGTCTGTGCAAATGAGTTCATAACACAATCAGCAAGAGTAATAAGCCTAATTCTCTGGTGGCTCTGCAAAATGTTTGTAATAAAGGCCACAGTGGGGTACTGGATAAGTGTGGCTAGTATATTTCTGCTCACTGCCTCTTTTTCTTTCTTTCTCCTGCTGTTCAGTTTATCACTGTGGCCTTGGAGAACATAGTTGTATCCCGACTGGCAATAAATCTCTGTGATAAGAAGGAACACTCTGTGGACATCATCCTCAAGAAAGATCACTTATCCCTGAAGGTAGATGGGATAGCAGGAGAAAGTGAACTAAGCATCTCTGAGTTAGAGGACAGTCTATCTATCTTGGAGAGCTCTTTGCAATCACCGGTGAAGACATATGTGGGAGGATTGCCAGGTGAGCCTCCAGTTTTGTACCATGGACCACAGGCTCCCAACTCGCCTTCCTGAGCTGGATGCCAGGAAAACCGTTTCTGTTTGTGCAAGTTGTGAGCCTCCTTCTCTGTTTCTTCTTGAGCAGGCTTTGTCTGCAATGCAGGCACGTGACCATAACAGATCTGGGGTTGGACTTTTCTTGAAAGATTGTGTCCTTCTGAGGACAGCTGGAGGCAAAAATAGCAAGAGGAAGTTTTGCTTTTTCAGCAGTAGGAATGATTTGTCTGAAGGATACCTGTAAGCAGGATCATTATCTTAAACCTGGTAAAATCCATAGGAGCTGGACCACAGGCCCCTGCAGTGCTTCATTAATATAATAAACCTGTGAGAGCATTCCTTGAGAGGAGTACTAGGGCCTTGCATTGTTTTGACTGAAGCTTGGGAAGCCCAGTGTGGTTATTTTCCCTGGCTGATGCTCTCTTTGAACTGATCACAGCACTCCACAGTTAACAGATTGCCTCCCAGCAAAGGGTATGTAGGGCACAACCAAGGGCATACCACCATTTATAGTTTCTCTGGCTTTTCAGCAACAACAGGGCTTCTTCTGAGAGGTCAGTTTGCTCCTCTGTTCTGAACCTGAAAGACGAAACTTTTATCTGAATTGTGAATTTTGGCCAAGTTTGGGAGTTTGTTTCTTGTTCTGGCTGAACTGGTTTATCAGTCCCTTCTGCTGAGGAATGCAGTTCAGGAAACACGTCTCTGATGCACATGATGCCAGCACCTAAGCAAAATCTTGCCCTTACTTGCCCAAGCAAGGGAGAGGCAGCAACATTGGCCTCTTAGTAGGTGCTGAAGCAGTCAGGCTGGAACAGAGTGGCTGAGGTGCCATGTGTACTAGGACACATAGAGTGGCTTTTCTCACCATGAACAAGAGTTTAAAGAGTATTTATGCTGATGATGTAAATGTCTCCTAGTCACACCTAAAAGGAGGAGACCAGATACTCTGGGACATTCACACACTGGTAGAAAGAAGCTGAAGCCCCAAATGTGGCATTTTCCAGTGTCAGATTGAATTGTCCAAGCTGGCTATTGCATCAATATAGGACACCTACTTTCTTTTAAGTAGCTCTCAGATGCACAGCAGAGGGTTTTATAGCTCAGAAAACAATCCCATTCTGTCCCTATCCCAAGTTGTCTATGATTTGGTTAGACTAACTGTGCTGGGTGAAGCACAGTTTTAATTATCCAGAACTGAGTGTGAGATACCATAGCTATGGCTGTTTAGACCCAAGTGGCATCTGGAGGTTTAGCTTCTTTTCCCCCTTTGATCTGTTTTGCTCAGTAACAGGAATTTCTGCCAGTGATCTGCTTTTGCTATTGAGAGGAACGCAGCACTTGCATTGAGAAACCTTGTCATTTGCCAAACAAATAAACATTTCAGCACTTCAGTTGGATTAATCATTCTGGGTTAAATAACTATACCGAATGGTCAGATCTAAGTGAGTTTGGCTCCTTCAGATTTTGAAAACATTACATAGTTTTTGGTTTTCCTGGCTTCCATACCCAGTGGAAAAGAACAAAGTATAGTGGTCACACTTAATGTCTTTACTCCATTTGCCACAAATAAAGAAAGAATTCTAGGATCCAAGTATGTAGTATGTCCCATCCTCAGTACAGCTAATATTGCAAATGTGGAAGAAATACTATGGAGAGTTTCAAGAGATAAGAAAGAACATGTAGGTATTTATTACATTTTCTGTAGTCTTTTCAGTTCTGGTAAATCCTGAATTATATAATTTATGTGATGCATAGGTGTTTTTTCAGGAAATGTGCATTCCACCAGGTGAAGGAGCCTTTAAACTAATCTTCCAGATCCTTACAGGACCACATTTCAGACAGATCCATTTCTAATCATAACAGAAAATTAAATATTTCACCTGATTTACAACTGTAACACAAAGAAAAAATTTATTTGTTTTTGATAGTATCTTACAGATTCATCTGAAAGCCCACACTGTCTTACAGTCAGCCCTGTGGCACATGTAACAGCAGTCTGCATGATTCCTTAGATGAGTCTTCAAGGTGTTAAGCCACAACTTCAACTTCTTCTGCATCAAAATTTAGTTTACATTCATGTGAGGTGTTACGGAGATGCCCCCTTCTTTTAAGCAGACTTCAAAGATAAAATTTGGGAAATAGGGAGGAATAGGTAACTTCTTAAGTTAACTTCTTAAGTTCTTAAACTATAGTTTAAGCAACTACTGAGGAATGTATTTCTCACCCAGGAAGCTGAAAAATTTCTAGTATCTCTTTGTGGCTTACAGATTCCCCACAAATGTTCTTTCTCTCACTCAGTCCTAGACACACTTTGGGCTGTGTCTGATCACATCAGCCTCAAATTTGGCCCTGCATGTCTCCAAGCAGAACCTTTTAAATTTCATATAATCTTGGGTCAACAGGACAACCTATTGTTAGAGTTGTCCTTGCTTCGGTGTAAAGATAAGGGGTTTGTTTAGCTACCTGCATCACTGTGACGTTAAATAATCTCTGAGACATTTACTATTTTCCACTGCACAACCAGTTTGATTGGGTCAGCTTTGAGTTGTAAATAAACTAATGACCTTTGGGGAAGGGTAGAGGACACAGCTCACATAAATTTTCGTGTCGTTATGTTACTGTGTGGGGTTAGTTAGTAGTAAGATTGACTAATTTCTCTAGTCTGTTGGACTGTACTTGGTGTCTTTTTCCTTGCTATATGTTTTCTGCCTCTGATAAACTGAGTAAAAGTATGTCACCAGTGAATATCCATAGAAAAAATTAGTCTCATTAATCTGACCAACTCAATAGATGCATTCCAACGCCTTTCTGGTGAAGGCCAGCAACCTCCTTGTGCGTAGTCCTGGTAAAGATGAGTCCAGCAAGTGATAGAGGCTGCGTATAGGAGGTGCTTTGCTGTCATAAAGTTCTTTCTATAATCTTTTGGCAGCTATTTTGAAGAGAGGGAGCATTAGAGGAAGGCGTAACAGCTCCACTAAAGACAAAGTAGAGGGTTCAGAGATGGAGAGGGGGGAAAATATCGAGATGGAAAGCAGTGTGAACACAGTTGTGCAAGTGGAGTGAAGCCTTGCTGCTGTGCAGCACATGGTTTTATCAAGACTGGAGGACTTGCAAAGATACAGAGCAGCTGAGGAAGGGTTCATTCTGGGAGAAGGGCTTTTGTGCACCAGAGCAGATGGTGTTTTCCCCATGTCTGGGATTGTGCTCTTGCCTTCTGGCGAGCAAGACAGGAGGGAGGTAGAAATCCTGGGATGGGGAAGAGGTGAGTTTAAGTTCGTTGAAGTAGTAGTCATCTGAGCATAGGTAGGGCAGGTATTTATTTAAAACCAGCCATGAGAGATCTTTGTCTTCTCTTTCCCACAGACGTTCCTGTCACTTCTACTCCGGTCACCGCGTTCTACCATGGCTGCATGACTGTCAAGCTGAGCAACAAGGCACTGGACTTAGATGAGGCTCTCTACAAGCACAGTGACATCACCTCACATTCCTGTCCTCCAGTCGAGGCAGGTCTGTAGGTACCACTACAGTGCGAAAGTTTTATACTCAGAAACTTTCAATGCTTTTTTTTAAAGATATAAATTATTCAGATCTACCGCACTGCGTGTATAGTTTCTCTTAAACACTGAAGTTATGTAGGAGCTACTGATCCTTATGTCAGATTGATTATTGAAATACTCTTTGCTTTGAGGTTTAAAGGTTGTAATATATTTGTAAATAGTTCAGAAGACTAATATTAAATAAGTCAGAAGTACAGAATATACCAAAAGCGAATGTTATCTTTAGACTGTAAGAGACAGTTTTATCTGTAATGTGCAAAACACGGTAATATATGAGTGTGGACTGGAAGAAAAATAATAATTCTGTATTTTTTTTTTATTACCAAACACTGCTTTCTGATTTGCAAAATACGAGAGAATAAAATATTTACATACAAGTTTTTAATTTACCTGTACTGAGATTTTTCTGTATTCTGGTATTTGGAGATAATGACTCAGATTATGCCTGATGTGGAGATTACAGTAGTGGGGGAGTGCTGTTTGGTTGGTTTAGTTTTTTGTTTGGAGGTGGGGGGGTTTATGTGCTTACATCTGTATTATATATCTGCTCAGCTGGAGAGCAAATGTTTTTTACTATTCTTATAGCTAGAATTTCTCTTCTCTTTCTTTCTCTCAAAGAAAACTCAGTTGTGACCTTTACAAAACCTCTTGGTCAACAGAAAACAAAGTTGGGTCAGCAGGAAACATTTAGAAGAAACAACTCAATAAGTTGAAAGCCACATGGCTTTTTTGTCGGTAGCCACTGACGCAAATGATGAGGTGTCAAGAATTGGGGAATATTATCTGCTGATGACATATTTTTGCTGCTGAACTTTTAGGTTGGCTCACTCACTGTGACCCTAGTGGGAGCAGAGAAGCTTGAGCTGTGAGAGTTAGCCAGGCTGAACTACAGTGAGGTCGGAATATACCTGAGGGTTTACTCAGGAGAGGTTGTAGAGCCATAAAGTGCATTCAGCTTTTAAATTGGGCTGGGCTTTGCCTAGCCTGCTCTGAGCCACTTAAATCTTGCTTTATTTGATCCTTGTCTTGCACCAAATTAATAAACTGAGCAATACAGGTATATGCTGTGGTGCAAAATCCAAATACTGGATGGCTAATATTACACCATGCTTCAGAGGGCTAATGTGGAAAAGATCTAATTCTACAAGGTCTTTTATAAATTATTCCTGGTCATTCATCTCATGTTTTTCCTAAGCAAATATGGAGATGACACATTAGTCTAATAATCCACATGTGTGGCAACATCTGTGACCAAGCTGTGAAGATGTAACTGTCCCAGAGGAAAAGATGAAAGAGTGGGAAGACTATCCCAAGCATATTTTCTGGCAAGGATCCCTGCTTTATTTAGCAGAGAAGAGGAAGGTATTCTATTAGCCGTTAGACAGCATGGCATCATAGCGCCATGTCATGACCAAATCAGTCAGCAGTAATGCAGTAGGGCAGAAAAGAACTTTATCACTTTCAACCAACCTACTCATTTATACTTGAAGAAGGACCTGTCAAAAGACTCTTCACACGCAGGTCTGACCAGACACAGGTTTAAAAGGGAGGTTTCTCACTGGACAATAATAACTTATTGGCAGAGTGCACGTGGATAGAAAACCCCAGAAGCAGTTCTAGTTTTTGCTTTTTTTGATTGAGCAAGGGAAACCATGTTATTCCTGAGAGTGCTTTATGTTAGAACTGATGACTCTGGGTCAATTTGTAATTTGATGGAACACCCAAGAAAGATTAAATTAATATGTTCAGTAAGAGCTGGAAATCTTGAAGATACTCTGGTTAATAGCGTAAACACTCCACGCTGCAGTGTTTTTCATGATTATTTTAGTCCTTTACCAAAATACATCTCTGTGCTGGTTTTGGTTAATATTCTTCATAGTAGGCAATATAGGGCTATAGTTTGGGTTTGTTCTGGAAACAGTGTTGATAACTCAGGGATGTTTTAGCTATTACTGAGCAGGGCTTGCACAGCGTCAAGCCCTTTTCTGCCTCTCACCCCACCCCACCAGCGAGGGGGTCGGGGGTGCACAAGAGTTGGGAGGGGAGACAGCCAGGACAGCTGACCCCAACTGACCAGAGGGATATCCTACACCGTATGGCCTCATGCTCAGCATATAAAGCTGGGGGAAGAAGGAGGAAGGGGGGACATTTGGTGTGATAGTGTTTGTCTTCCCAAATCACCATTACATGTGACATTGCCCGGCTTTCCTGCAGATGGCTGAACACCTGCTCATGGGAAGTGGTGGATGAATTCCTTTTTCTGCTTTCCTGGCATGTGTGGCTTTTGCTTCACCCATTAAACTTTATCTCAACTCATGAGTTTTTTAAATTTATTCTTCCGATTCTCTCCCCCATCCCAGGGGGAGAGTGAGCAAGTGACTGTGGAGCTGAACTGCTGGCTGGGGTCAAACCACAACAGTTTCTCATCTCTTTAACTTGGATTAATCTCTACTGAAAAAAGTAGACTTGGAAGGCACCTGTTTTTAAACCAAGAAGATGAAACAAACTCTGTTTTACTTTGTTCTTTTCAAAGGAAACATGTTGGAAAAATAATCTTATGTCTAGTATTTTTGTATAATTTCTGTGGTAGTTCCCAAAAAACTACCATGTGGCATAAATGAATCACAAACATGTTTTACTTTTGTGTTAATGTAAGTGGCATTATTTATGAGGCCAAAATTATTTTGGGTCCTGGAAATGTGAGTTCTGTGGTACATTATGGTACTCTGCAGTTTCATACTAAATGCTATGTGAACAAGACTGTTTCATTTTCTAATTCAGAGCAAAAATTGCTCCAGACTTTGCATATGTGTATATGTATGTGAAGACATTTTGCATAGACCACAATGCACCCTGACTCAAAATGTGGTTTAGAAAAGAAATCCAGAATTTCTATCTGGAGAATAACAGAAGGGGGGGGAGTTCTTTTGTGTAAAGGTGAATTTTTTAATACCCTCCATCAGTACCACACTGGAGGAAGAGGTCTGGAGGAGGAGGCAGTTACAATAAGCATTCCTTCATTCCTTCTCAGTCATTGCTTCAACGTAAGAGAAACATTCATTTCATTTTTGTTCAGTTACTAGTTTAGGTGCTCAACTCAAAGGGAGCAAGTCTGTTCTGGGATTTGAGTCCTCAGAATGAACCCAGGTGATTCCCCTGGTAGTATTCATAGCAAGCAAAAAGTAAATGTGTGGTTCCACTTACTTCATGATCATGGTGACTGTGCTCTTCATAGCATGTATTTGCACAAGAACTAAGCATTTTGGATGCATTAAATTAATGTTTAAAACAAAAATAATGGTCTCTTCTCTGACTTCTGTTTCTCTCAGTCAGGTTCATATAACTCAACAGTACACATAAGGCACCTCGTCACTGATGTTAACATCACTGGCCTAAAACTTTGCACCTTAGAAAAACCTTAACAAAAGGTGGCTTTTATGATCCGTATAAATTAATCTCTGATCTTACGTGTATTAGTACTGAATCTGCTTCTGCTTTTTATACACAAATGTACGTGAATTAACAGAAATTTCTTGAAAGTTGGAAAATATGTAAAAGGATGATCATTCTTTGTTCTATTTTGAGCAGGTCTGATGGTGTCACTTCCTTTGAAAGGAAACTGTCAAGTAAGCTGATTTGGTTTATATAGTTTTTTTCAATATCTTCATAATTCAGAGCAGCTGCTTAAAACGTTAATGAGAAATACCTTCCTTTCCCTACTTTGCTCTTTGGCCTTTCAGGAAATTTTTGTAGTTTCATTGATGTCTAGACTGTAAGATCTGTGGAGCAAGCAGCACCAACATCCTTCCTGCAGGAACAAAATGCAGTAAAGGGGTGCAGCAGTCAGATGGGTTTTCATGCTGGTGTAACCACTCCTGTCCCAAAATGTGGCAGCCAAGTGCCAAGATGAATCCCAGCCAATGTGATGCACAGTGAGGCAGAAGGGTGCACACATCAGGGACATGTTTTTTTTCCTGTCAATGGCACTGCCGGAGGTATTGTTGCTTAGCCTTGTCTCTATACAATAGGAGAAAATTAAAAAAAAAGGAATTATGACCCTTCATTCATTCTGTCTCAGTCATTGTAAAGTGCCTGCATCAGATCTTGATCAGTTTAAAAATAAATACTGGCATTTAAATAGAATGGTTTTGGTTGTGGTCCTCTTTTGACTAGAAAGGAAATAATTTGAACACTAAAGTACAGCATAAAATACACATCTGGAAATTTCATCTTTAGCACACTGACATGACATTTTACTATGCAGACTAGACTGGCACAAAGTACAGATGTAACAGTCCAATAAAATTAGCCTTTCTGTCTGAAACTTGAAAAAGGAAACTGTTTGGTAGTGTACTTCTTCCTCTGTGATTTTGTTTTCCCGTCCTTACAAATGCAGACAGCCTTAGGTACAGTATAAATAGACACTGTGAATTTTATTGTAAAATAATTGCCACACTTTATTGGTACAACACTTTCACCAAAAAGGGTTATTAAATAAATACTACAAGCAAACAAACACCTGGCCTCTTACTGAAAATTATTGACTCAGAGAGCTTCTGACTACGCACTCAGACAGCACAGGCTTAAACCCCTCTATACTGGTTTATGAAAGCAGAACACATATCCAGAGTGTTTTCTTCATTTCTCCCATTGAAGAAAATCTATTCTGCAGTGCACCGAGAAGGAAACGTCTCATCCTTACTGCAGCCAGAAAGCACTACTACACCTGACTGCAGGCAAACTAGGTGGTGACTGGATGCCCCAGTGGTGATGTGCCTGCCCTTACGTTTCCAGGGTTCTGCCCTGCTCACAGTGAGATGCAGGTAAAAGCGGAGTGGCTGTAACACACTCTGCGGTGGGTTCCTTTGGGAAGTCTAGTGCCTGCACAGCAGTTTCCAGAGATTTCTTAGAAACAAAATAAAAGCCTACCAGCTACCCAAAATTAATTCTTTGTTCTATGGTGCATATGGTGGAGGCTTTTCTCCAGGCAGGCCGTAAGTCGGTGTATACAGGGCTGGAGCATTTGGGGGAAGACCATAGCTGGAGCTGGACTGAGATGGAGGCTGAGTTTCTTCTGATAAAGAAATGTCAGTAGATGATGTTCCTGGAAAATTGTTGGCAGGCTGTATGTAGACAAAAGAAAATACCTTATTCAGTAAAGGTTTACAACCCCATTGCAGTTCTGGGGTTTTTTGCCATGTTAGTGTTAGATAATGAGCTTCATGATTAAATTTCTCCTGCATTGCAGCTTAACATTAACTTTAGTTCTAAAGCACCTGCTTAAGTCTAGCAATGATGGTGTTTAGTGAAACAAGACAGATTCCTTCTGTAACCTAAGTCAGTTTTAATAGACACTGTGCAGACAGCTGGGCAATAGAACAGAAC